AAGTTGACGTACTTTTTTACAACATCAGGTGCACTACTACCTATCACGAAGCGCTGTTCTCTTCCGAGGTGGTTGTGCACTACTTTCGTTCTCTGCCGATTAACTCTAAGACCTACATTAAGGCCCTCCTTGTCTAATTCAGTAATAATTAATTGCAACTCGTCCCCTGAGTTACTCATCAAGGCAAAGTCATCAGAAAATCGCAGGTTACTAAGATACTATCCACTAACTCTTATCCATAACTCTTCCCAATCTAGAGCACTAAAAACCTCCTGTAAACACGCGGTGAATAGCGTTGGGAAGATCGTATTGCCTTATATTACACCCTTCTTTATTGGTACTTTGTCGCTTTCTTTATGGAACACTATGGTGGCAGTTGATCCACTGCAGGCTTCTTCCAGGATGTTTATATATGCTTCGTCGATGCCCTCGTTTCGCAGTGTGCGCATGGCTGCTGATATATCTACTGAATCAAATGCCTTCTCGAAATCTATGAAGGCTATGTATAGTGGTTGGGTGTGTTCTGAGTATTTTTACATCACCTGATAGATAGTAAGAATGTGGTCGATTGTTGAGTAGCCTGTGGGAAATTCTGCTTGTTCTTTGTTGATTAAATTCTAATTTAGTCCTAATTCTGTTAGCAGTTAGGTTTGTAAATAGACAGAAAAAAATATCAGAATGGTAAGGAGGTTCACACCTTTGTAAATAGCTTGTATACAACGGAGAGCAGGATAATCAGCCTGTAATTCTTGAAGTCCTTGTCGTCCCCTTTCTTATGAATTAAGATGATGTTATTCTTCAAAGATTCTGGTAACCTCCCCTTCAGAAGACATTTCGTGAACAGGGTGGCTAGTTTTTCCAACACAATCTGTCCTTCGTTTTTCAGCAGATTTGATGTTACCTGATCCTCACCAGCAGTTTTGCCTCCTTTCATTCCCTTAAAGTATTTCCTCACTTTTTCTGTCATTGCCGGTGGAATGTCATCTGGGGTACTCCTAGTTCTTACATTATGGTTGTGGCTGCCGCGGCTACTGTACAGATCCTATTAAAACTCCTCGCGCTCCTTTAACTATCTTATCCACATTGGTAGTTACTTTGCCTTCTTCACCTCTCAGTGCATACATACAGTATGCATACAGTTAGTGTACATACTCGAAAGCAAAACTGAACATTTCTGAGGGAGGGAGTTTGAACCCCACAATCCTGCCCGCTGAAGCCCCTGGAACGGGGGCTGCAGGGTCAGGAACTCTTGGCTACGCTCCTTGCTCCTGGAGCCCCCTTCCGACAGATTTCAGAACCTAACATGGCCTCGCACTGCCTCCGGTATCAAAAGCACTTGGAGGCCAAAACTTGCAAAAAAACTTGCGATACCTCCGGTATCGCAAGCTTTGTGCATACTATCTGGTCTTGAACAGCCTCCGTGATCGGCTTGTCCTCGAACAAGCGGCGAAGTTATGCGATCACGTCATCATGTAACGTGACGCCGTGGGACGTCACCGTGAAGTATCGATGACGCCGCAAATTTTCACGACATTTGACGTTATTGTGACGTAATCACACGTGATGACTTTTTTTAATCTATCGTGTTAACGCCGCGAACGCCCACGGTCAGTTTTTACGTTCTCTGAGGTATTCAAGACTTTTTTAATGCTTTAGCCCTAATATAACGAATGACTGCGGAGAGGCTCTTCATCGCAAATGACTGCGCAGAGCTCTACAAAGAAAGCGCTATCAAGTATGAGACGGAACGCTATGAAGCGGTCACGCAGTGTCAAACAATCGTTACGTTCTCGGCGGCTTTGTTGGCACGCTTCGTGGGACTGGAAGGTCCAATTACTTTGAAAGATGGTCGCACTCATTGATCACTCCTCGCTTCGCCTAAGACAAGCAAACAGGCGAGGGAATATCCCAGCGCCTGCAGTGGTAAGGAAGGAGCTCGGCACTACTGTGATCAATGGTACAGGCCGAGAGCGATGGGTTGCGAGTGGCCCCCTCGGGTGCCAGCCACAATTCGTCTTGTTAATACCGTGCACTGCAGCCAAGGAAGCGTGTGAACAGGCCATAACTACCGCCGCACACAGTAGTACCGAGTTTGGAAGGCTTGTAAATGGGCCACATCTTACGTCCAAATGTGGCCGGCGCTCTCCTTGTGTTAACGCGCTTACGGTTTTCTGTAAGCTTTCCGTTTTTATGTCTTCTCACGTATGCAGCTATAGGTATTAAAAACAACAAGCTCAGGTGCGATAATGAAGGGGAAAAACATGTAGTTTGGCGCTTCGGTCCTAAGTATTTCTCTTTGATGCTGTCGTACACGTAAAATTACTTCTAATCACGAAGTATTTATTAATCTTTTTTAAGTTGTGTACGAACCGTACGAGGTGGGACACAAAAAGTTCAACATACAACGTTGTATGTTGAACTTTGTTGTTGAATTACGTTCAACATACAACAAAATCAACGCGATCAAGACATCCGTTTCTGTACAGCCCCACTATCTTATACGTGAGTCAGTTTACGGGCATCGACGTGAGCTTTTCCCGCTCCTTGCTAGAAGGTTAATCTTTGCGCAAAAAACAAAATGACTAGGGGTGTTGTTTGATTTTTGCATGTACAGGTATTCGTGTTTCCTCAAATGAACTTTACTTGTTACTTTGTTCTCGTCTGTTGTTCCTTCTAGTATTCCTTCTACTGTTGTCCTAAGTGTTCATTCTAGTCCTCCCGTTTTTTTTGCGCAACTTCTTACGTTTTAGTATGATGCACCAACTCGCCTACCACGAACTCTTCCTGGTCTATGCCCTTTTTTTCCATAAAAGAAGGAAATCGAAATGCCAACATGGCAACCACTGTGATCTCTACACCGTTGAAAATCAGAGAAAGATGGTGATGCGCTCTACAAATAATAACCTTACATTTAAACTGTCTATAAAGCGTGTTATGAACAGAAAAGAACCGTCACTGAGTTTGTTTCTCTTCTCTCGTTCAACTTCTGTCCGTAATGTGTTTTAAGTTCACCGAGTACACCAATCTAACTGCAACGACATCATACCATGCTTACTAATTTTGCAAAATGATGTCCGAAAAATTTACGCAGAACATGCAGCCTTCCCAACATCGCTTGCGAAGGCTCCGAAGCCCTGCACGGTTCTAGAGAGGTGTGCCAAGTACACTCCTTCATCACCCCAGCTTGCGCACTTCTCGCAATGTCTCTCCCCTTTCGACCCCCGAACCCGGCCCCGTTGCGGCTCCCCATTTCGCTCGAGTGGGTGGCGGCATGAGCGTTGTCTATTGGGCACGGGGTCACTCTTCGGGACAGAATTAATCTCATCTGTCCCCAGCCAGATCGTTATTCGTATTCTTCCCTCACTTTAGGCTCCGTCCATGATCTTTACTTTCTTTTCTTTTTTTCTATATCCTGTGTCCAGCTCGTGGCTCAGGGCCGGCGATGTCTGCATGTCCACCGCTATGCGGTGTCGAAAGAGGTGTCATGCCCCACCTCTCTAACCCCTAGTTCACACTGAAGCATCCGCTTTCTGCAGCGACCGAAATTCTCCTGCCACTGAAACGCAGCGTCGTTCGCACTGGACGCGCCCCGCGCCACCGAATATGCCATGAGGCGAACGCGGGATGGATGCGCGGTCACCCAGTTTTTGTCGCGGCTCGCAAACATCACTATACGCTATGCGGTTGTCTAGACTTCAATGATTATCGTAAGCAGGAAGCAAGAAGAATCAGTACTGCTCACTTTGCTGGCAAGTCGCGGTCTTGTAATGCAAGAAGAGCAGAAAAACCGCCGACGCCAGCGGCGTTGATGAGTTCGTCTTAACTAGCTCGGTTACGCCAACGACAAGCTCGGTCACCTCTTTCACAAAATATGGCCGTGAAGTAAGCACAAAGAGGGTTAAACTCCTGTTGGTTACAACTTTCAGTTATGTGCACTGCGGCAGGACAAGTGAGTAGGGCTTTGCCACCATTTTTGAAAGTTTCTTGACTGGCGCTCCTATTGGTCTGCGGCGACCGATTCAGCAGCAGACGCCGCAAAACTCGGTCCGAGAGCGATTGGCGCAGATCGGACCGAGTTTCGGACCGAGTTTCGGACGGGTACCCTTTATTCAGATCTCGACACCTTCGAATTGTATTCGGCGCACTTTTGGCGGCCGAAATGCTCAATGTGAAAGCACCTGACACCTTTTTCAACAGACAGCACTAGGAGGAGCACTGTATACGAAGAGAAGATCTTGGCGACGAGAAACGAGGCGCGGAAATGCGTTCGTTTTAAAACCGCGATTCCCCTAACTTTACGCGTGCTGTCACACAGCAACGCCGATGGCTCGAGTGTCGAAAAACAGATCTACGCTAGATAGCACGAACACTCGATAATTTCTATTCGCATATGCAAAACGTAAGCGTCACTGCTAGAAGCTATAACACTGCAAGCGGTTTTCGGTATGACTTTGTCCATTTCGCGGCGACACTTATAGGCACCTTTATAAGGCACTTAGCCTTAATTTCTTCGAGACCAATACCTCAGGTTCGACAACTAACACTGGCGCCCACGATCGTTTACGTGGCATAATACGCGAGAGCGGCCGTGTGCTGACGCATACCATGCCTTTTGGCAAGGGCGTCCAAATCTCTCCAGAAGGGACGGGGGGATCTGCAGGGGGGCTTCCAGCACGGGTCGTCTTTCTTTCCCTGCCGTCACGTGAACGGCAAGTTTGGTAATAGCGTGTAACGTAAAAAGTTGGCTCGCGAAGTTCATGGCTATTTCACACAAACATGCAAGGTCTGAGTCTTCTAATAAAGCAGTATAGCTTATCGCTAGTAGATGAGTCATCCCGAATTCCTGGAAGAAATAAGTGCACAGATTTCCCTCACCCGCCTTTGTTGTAGCTATGTGGAACATAAGTGGTGCGTTTCCCGCGACATCTCATCCGTTACGTGACCCCGGTTCAAACTGTGCAACCTTCCATTGAGAGCCAATAAATAGAAGGGGTTCCCACCTGTCGTCCTGCAGGACGTTGATGAGCTTGGGGTCCCTGATGGCGTAGCGTGCTGGCCTCCGGCAGGGCGACGTCACAGCGTACAGGGAGGCAATGCCGCCCTCGCTTACGTATCCGCTAGACTCCTCGGTGCTGCAGGCGCGAGGCGCACGCAGAACGTCGCCGTCGCTCACGTACCCGGCCGACAGCTCGGCGTAGTCCGCGTGTTGCTGCTGTTGCTGTTGGTGGTGGTATGCCGGGTGGTGCAGGGCCACCGAGGCGGTCGGTCTCTGGGCGCCGTACAGCCGGGCGATGTCCTGGGACGCGGCCAGCATGTTCTTCGCCACACGCTGCACGTCCGCCTGGTCACGCGACAGCGACACAAGAAATTGGGCGGAGCTCCAAAAGAACAAGTACTGTGATGATCAGCGTAACTCATTTCGCTCCCCTTCACTACTCCCGCCACGTTGGTATTGAGGAGGTGAGGAACACCCGTAATCTAACAAGCTTTGGGTGTTCTTCGAGACAACGGTGACCGAAAGTGCCACCAAATCATCTAACAGACAGTATGATACAGGACAACTTCGTGAAACTATTCCTATTCACTATGCTATTCAAACTATGCTATTCGAACTATTGACACTTCAAATACAAGTTGTATACCAGAGCACGATTTGTCAATACTGTCTTCTTTAATGGAACCTTTTGTTGTTTTAGTCTTTTATTTGTTGTTCAGCACCACCCATCAATAGAGAAATCCAGAATACCCCAAATAGGTTTCAGCCTGTGATATTCTTGCGTGTGTGTGCAATGTAAATGGGAGATTGAAAGCCCTTATGGAGTAGTACTTAGGCAAAGAAAATTACCTGGAGACGTAGACACGCGGGTAGCCTCGCAGCCCGGTGACCGGACAGACCTCGGGAGTAGCCGCTGCCATACGGCGAGGCCCTAGGCAGAGGCTGCATGGGTGGAATGTTCGCGAGAGCCTCCTCCATCTCCTCTCCTTCCTTCCCGCACGAGGAGTCGACGGAGTTGGCCCTGGGCACAAGCTTAGTCTCGGCGGGCACCGACTTCACTGTAGACTCGACCCCGCCCACCAGACCGCTGTTGGTGCCGGTCGATTCTCCGTTCACGTTAACCTGAACCTGGTCGGCCCCTCCACCAGCAGGCACCATCTGAGCACCAGCATCACCCTGCTGCGGGACGCTGTTCTCCGGATGAAGGCCCTGTTTGGCCTGCACACCGTTGACGTGAACGTCTTGGTTGCCTTCGCGATTGTCCTGATTCTGCTGGCCCTGATGGGTAGTCGTGGCTATCACCGAAGGTGCTTTGTCCTCCTTGACCGATATCACTGTGGACAGAGAGGATTCCGTTGAGGACGCGGTGACTGAGTCCTTGCTGAACGAATGCTGACTGCTCATTATAGGAGACACCATCGCTATGCTGACGCCCTGGGCTTGCGTCTTCTTGGAACGATCACTTTTGGGTAGGGTCTCCGTTCGGACCACGCCGTTTACGTCACTAGAAGGTGGCGTCACCGTCTGGTCCTGCTGCTTCTTGCAGTCACAGTCGTCCGCGAGAGTCGAGTTCTTGGACGCCTCGTTGACGTTCACGACGTCGTGTTTCTTCTGAATCGCGATGTCATCACCAGCAGGACTGGTAGGAACACTGCCATTGTGCTTAATCTCGTTCTTGGTCTTCTCGGGCTGACCAAGGCCGATGGTAGTAAGGTCTTCCCTGGACTGCTTCGTAGTCCCCTTGACGGCGGCTGTTGGCTTGGGAATGCCACTGCCAAGGCCGTTCGGTTGCGCGGCCGAGTTCAACTCCATCTCTTGATGTTTCTTGTCCTCGTGCGCATTGGTCCCGTTTGGTACGGGCTTGGAATCCTGCGCTTTAGGGGATGGGTACTTCTCGGATATCACCTGTGACGAGGCAATTTCGTGGCCGCTGCTGAGGGGTCGCGGGTGCCCGCTAGCGCTGGCGTTGGACCTGCGCGTAGCAGTCCTGTTGAGCGTCTCGCTGGACGGAGAGGACCGGGGAAGGCCAGAACGGGCGGTTTCGGAAGAGCCTGCAACAGAAGCGCGCGGGAAACGGTCAATCTTATCGCACCAACAGGACGGGCAAAAATATTTGCAATAGAGACAACGAGACTGCGACAACACCACAGAGTGGACCCCAACTTGCTTTCCACAGGGACCTCACCAGATGAAAATTGATTGCAAAATCTTTCAACGCCCGCTTGGTGGGCGCTTTTGTCTTTACGGCGATGATGTTATTAAATAACAAAATAAGCATTATGTGCGAGTATACTCGCATATATGGGAACCCATATATGGGAACACAACGCTCCGCGTGACATGAAATTAAAATTAAACCTGAGGGTTTCGACCCAATTATTAAAATGATATATAGAAACTGTCTAGTCGACTGATTCAGCAACAAGACATGCTGACGTTCATGTCATTCTCACGTGTATATACATATATTCACGACCTTCCCCGTAACTTGAAACAAATATGCGTTTTGAAGTGGCTAACCACCGCTGACTGAAACCACGGACATTTAGTTTGCTTTCGTGTTTCATTCGTGAGGTAATTTTTTGATCCAGCCTAATAACTTCTTGAACTGTCATGGATCACTTAAAATTTTCATTATTCAGTTTAGGGCCAAGCACGCTTACGTGCCTTACCGAGGGCATTCTAAAACAACCAATTTCATACTTTTTTGTGGCAACGTAGGCGCTGCGCGTGGATACTTTTGATGCCCTGTGTATTCGTGATTCAATCTTCCATGGCTAGTTCGAGCACACCAATATTGAACCTCCCCCCCCCCGCACACACACACACAGACACACACACACAGAAAGAAAAACGCCAGCGGCAATTCAACAGTAATAGCATTGCAAGCATTATACAAAGCGCGGTTTTGCGCCCCACCTGATAACCCTAGCTTTTGTTTTGGTTTTCTGTACACTTTGCTTTCTCGTGTTTAACGCTTTTTTATTTCAATTCAAAGCAATAAGATAATTTGTGCAGCGCTTCGTGCGGCGCACATAGCTGACTTCATTATGATCGTTACGAACAGAAATCAGGCCCCTGGGTCACCCCTTTTTTTTCTCTTTGACATAAAATACAGGGCCTGTCTGGGTCTGGCAAAAAGAGCCGATCGATCAGTTCGGTACATATTGAGAGAAGTGTGCGGGGCTCTATTAAGACCTGTGCTAGAGTTTGACCAGCCCTAATGTGAGCCCGGCAGACTTCTTCATGTTCCCAAAGCTCTAGAGAACAGTAAAAAAACACCGTTTCGGCGGTGTTCCTGCCATCGAAACAGGCCGTCACAGACGCTCTGAAAAGCGTCACAGCAACTGGTCATCACGGAGCGTTTACAGCATGACAATTGCGCTGAAAGCGATATATCGGCGGCGAAGGAAACGATTTTGAAAAACATTTCGTAATATGACCGATAGCGTCAATAAATCATCTCAATACGCTACCACCCAACAAAGACATGAGCTATAAATAGTTCCGCTTGTAGACCCCAACAATTGGTGTAAACATTAATTCTTTGCACGAATTATAAGTGACTGAAACAAACTGACCCACGCCGAAGTTTCTTGCAGCCATGTACAACTTCCTAATCTTAAAGTCTCCACAAGTTAAGATTGCATAAATTTATAGACCTATAATCTGCTCTTCATTAGTTTTCCGCTGCATAATGTTAATTATTTCAGGTATTTGTGAATTGTTTTTGTTGTTTTTATATCATGGCTGTCTTCACTTGTTTGTTTTTATGCTAGTGTTACATTGTAACTCCACTCGGCGAAAATACCTGAAACGAATCCCAGTAACTAAAAATAAATCAATGAATAATTTCGACCACACCCAGTTTGATTGCTTCACGGACAGGTTTCGTATAGGAGGATGCACACTTGACTAGAACGCCCAGCCGGCTGCTCGAGCTGCCGTTTTGTGCAGAAATATGTAGGCCGACGCCGTAATAACACCAAACGTGGTCATACAGCATGCTGGGTCCTTCTGCCATAATTTAAGCATGAACGGAAGCTTGTAGCTAAGGCGAGGTAGAAGCCACGGTCAACAGCAGCGTCGACAGCCATGCGCTCCGCTGCTCTAGACAAGTGTGATCCTGCCTGTACGTGCGATTTTTGTATATGCAAGTTTTTTCCTACCTGCATGCGACGTGGACAACTTGGCGAGCGACGAGCCAGGCTGCTGCTGTTTTCCAGCTGTTCTGGAGAAAGTCTTTTTGGCCAGACCCTTGGCAGCCGACGAGGCCTTGGAGTGACCGCCGGACCCGTGGTCAGGTGCGACCTCGTTCCCTGGTGCAACACCCGAGGGCCCGTGTGACGCCGAACCCCCGTTGCAGACTACGGCGGAGTCCGATGTCTTGGCTTGGCCTGCTGCCTCCGAGCTCGAAGCCGAGCCGTTCGGTGAGCCAGCGTCGCCGCATAGGCTGACGGACGAGTCACTCCGTTCGCTGCGCGCCGAGCTGAAGCCGCCGCCGCTGCTCGGGCGCTTGGGAACTGCGAACGAGCCGAAGCGTATATGAGCCCGAGTTATATGGAAATAAACAAGGAGATAAATAAATAAATAAATAAATAAATAAATAAATAAATAAATAAATAAAACAGTTAACTTGAGCTTCTTTGAAGCTGAATGTTCGCATTCAACTTCACTTGCGCTCACATGTTAAATTTCAATGACAGAACAGTGCGTCCAGCTTACATGACATGACTATACTACAAGTTCGTCATTCGCATACGTATGTAATTCTCACTGCTTTAAATTTTCTGTGGAAAGAAACAGCCGACAACAAATAAAGGCACCAGAATGTCATAAACATCATATATAGAAAACGAGGACAATAATAGGAGTAAGCAAAACTCAATTATTCATTCGTAACCCGACGAAGACAACATCATTGCTACAACAATGAACGGGCAACGTCCAGCATTATGCAGCGAGTGACAAAAGTGTGCCGTCATTTAACCAACCACAGGCAGAGGTGCTCGCTATTTGCAGGTAAATACGGTTGTTGAATTCTGTCAGAAACTGAGCATGCTGCGGGATGTAGCGTGAGTGCATGCAGCCCAGCAAGGCTTTGTGTTAACGTGATACCGTTAAAAAGCTCGTTTCGCAGAAATTCCGGCATCGGTGTCAGTGTCAGCGTCGTTGGTTGAGACCGAATAATCCAGAACGTTGTAAATAAAATAAATGATAAAAAAGCCCCAACTTCGCCGCGAAGGCGAAATAGTGAGCGCGATATCAACAAATTGGAAGATCACACAAAGAATAGAAAGCTGATCGAAACACGCCCTACGTTTTTAACGCACAAATGACACACGAAACGAACTCACCGGGTACAGATGAACGCGAATAAGCATCTCAGTTGTTCGCTGCGTGCGAAATGCGCGCCTTCTTAACAAACGTAGACTGTGCTATGAGTGCAGTGACCATGGTGTGCCCGGCAACTACAACAGAATCGTTCAGGGGAAAGCCCAAAGCATACCATTGTCCCCACCGCGAGATAAGCGAGCCCTCACGAGAGCGTCCCCTCTCCGCGGGCAAAGTACGCGTGGGAGATGAGAGCGCGTGCCAACGCGTCGTGATAATCTGGCGAAGCTGGCGAGCCTACATGACCACCTAATTGGGCCATCTCGCTGGTTATGCTGAAAACACGATAATAGTACCCCGAGATGCCTATCACCAGTAGGAAGTCATAGATATAAATAGCTTGTCGTTTGAATGTTGAACGAGGTGCTCCATTGTAGCTCAGTGGCGACGATTCTAGTAATCTGGCTCCACCAACCTGTATAGGTGGCGCCCCTCAGTCAAGCTTCGAAGAGCCAGAGAGAACAATTTTTCAAAAATATCCTACAGATGTAAACTTGGTTCTTCACCTAACTAGATCGTAACACGTAACAAGGAAGCTCCGCTGTGTTCTTGTTGCCTGTGCTCACGGTTATACCTATATGCATGCCTGCAGCGAATGTTATTATAGTGCTCCTAATAGATTTCTGTCAGGCTGGGTGAAAATTAATACGTATAAAATAAACTCTCCAGCCACTTTTTGCTCGAAAGTCTCTTATGTTAAAATTACGAACTATAAACTGACCTGACGTTTCGGGTCCGATAAGTGACTTTTTGGGTAGCCAACTTTACATGACTGCCAGTACGTTTCCTTACTTTTAAACCTGAAAATCGATCATTTGAATGATTGATTCATTGATTGATTGATTGATTGACTGATATGTGGGGTTTAACGTCCCAAAACCACCATATGAATATGAGAGACGCTGCAGGGGGGAGGAAGGGGGGGCTCTGCAAATTTCCATAACCTCAGGGGTTCTTTAACGTGCACCCATACCTGGAAATCACGTTTCAGATGAAGCAAGGAAGTCTTTCTGAAAGCTCATTTTACTAGTCCTTGAATGATTTATATTACAATAGAATAACAGATAAACAACACCCTCAACTTAATCTTTTTCTTCTGATAACTATTTTGCTGCGACAGCAGTTCAAATTTCAGAAGAGAGTTTATTCAAACTCACTAGAGATTTTCATTCTGCTGTACTACGCTCCTATGTTTTTTCCGCAAGCTGTACCCACCACTTATGCTGCTGAGTTGTGATAACCTGAAAAACTTACTGAAGCTCACAAGAGCTTTTAACTTCGTTTTACTGCGCTCTTAGAAGTGGTAGATGAATTTCATTTGTTTGTTTATTTTTTAGCTAGTTATTTAATAAATGTTATCAAATCGCTGCAGAACTGTAGCTGCTGCTGCATAAACATATTTTGCTTCTCACGACCCTGAAACCCGGCGGCCTATACATAGGGTCACCGTATTTCGTTTCTCGGTCTGCTGCAGGTAAATGTTCGTCCCACGCCCCTGTAGAACGATTTCTTATTAAGTGCCGCTAGCATCGCATTCCATCGGTGCGCGTACAAGAAAGTACGAACACGCTGTAGGTAAGGTAAGAAATGCACGCTCCTGTATGCGCACCCATCCACGGAGTCAGCCACCAATGACCATCCAAACGGAAAAGGCCGCGCCGGACATGCGGCAATAAGCGTCACGACAGATCTCATTAGCGAGACGCTGACCCTACGGATCCGCTAGCATCGCCTGGGCAAGCAGAAAAACGGGCACCTGCAGTGTGTGTCTTTCCAGAGGCATGTTTGCCACCCGATTAGCAAGCCCCACGGAAGGACCTCTTCAATATTCCGGCGGTTCCCAGCGTCCGATGTGCCAGCGTGCACGGCGTTGCAAAGAACAAAAGGAAGTTGGCTATGCAAGCAGCACGAGCTCCGGGAACCATGTCCCGAAAACGGTGAGCGCTGCACACTCCGCTCCCGACCCAACCCGCCTACGGGGACTTCACGACAATCGACTGTAGTACGCAAGAAAGTGGACGTGGAAAAACAAATGGCAGCATATCCACGGAGTGAATGATGGAGAGTGGGGCGAAGCACCCGTACGTCCATTCGTTCTTGCTTCCGTCCATCCATGCGTCCGTCAGTGTGACCGTCCATGCGTCCTTCAGCCCGTCCGTGCATGCGTCTGTTCGTGCGTCCGTCCCTGCGTTCGTCCATGCAGCCGCCCCTGCGTCCGTTCATGCGTCCATCCATGCATCTGTCTATGTGTCCATTCGTTCATCTATTCAACACTCCAAGTACCATCATCTCGCATCTTTTCATCATATATTCCCCATATAGAAGCACCGCCATCCAGCGGACATTCCAAGGACTAAAGGAGAGGTGGCACACGCACACTTTCTTACGGCTTGCGCTTCGGGTCCACTTCCCACCTTTAACCACCTCGAGTTCATGGTATATACTAGTTCACTGTATTCATGGCACTGCGGCCGAACGGTCGCTAAACCTTTCGAAAACCAAGGAGGTTACTCCCAGCGAGTATGACGTAGCAAACTTTTTCAGTCAGATAGTGCTCAATGTACATGCCAGTGGCTGCTAATGGGAAATGAGAGGCGGAGAATTCGGCTTTTACTTTCTTACGGCTAGCGCTTCGTATCTACTTCCCATTTTTAACCACCTCGAGTTCATTCACGGTATATACAAGTTCATTGTATTCATGGCACTGCGGCTCAATGCTCGCTAAACCTTTCTAAAGCTAAGGAGGTTACACCCATCGAGTATAACGTAGCAACTCTTTCTTGTCAGATAGTGCTCAATGTACATGCCAATGGCTGCTAATGGTGATCGCAGCCTGCGCGTTAACTAAAAGCTGAATGCTCCTGTCTCTCATTCCCCATTAGCAGCCATTGACATATACATTGAGCACTATTTTTTATTGTTCCACAACGCACAGAAGAAGTCTCTCACCGGCACCACCTTCGAGGTCAAAATGTTATACTTGTTACATACTACGGGGGACGAACGGGTGCCGTTATAAGGAGCTTCGCCCGTAAAATCCCACCACACGCTGAAGCGGGTGCCACATTCTGTTGAGCACGATGTTAGCAATTCAGCTTTTGCACACTACGGGGGCTGACCGCATTGGTGTCGTCTGTACGGACACTGCTGCACATCAGGCCGAACTATCAATGCGAGTTTCTGTGCGTGACAGCACGCAATAATGAAGACAAGGTCGAAGAGACGACTGGTTCTTGCTGTAGTATGCGTTTCCAGCGTGACTAATTCCACTGCAGGCAACTCATTCGCAAAATAAAGGGGGAGGGAACAATTAATTGTTTGAGTTTGTAAGATGCACGCTTAGTTCAATGGACTGGCTCAGGTCTTATGCTATAATGTAAGTCCACCAATGTGGATTCCTCGCTACAATGCGCACAGAAAAGCACTGCTAGCTCGCATAGACCGCAGCCTGATGACGTCGTTAACTGTTCTGGAATGTCGTCTTGAGAGGTCATCGCGCGGAAAAGATGACTCATTCAAGTCATCAGACTTGCATCGGCGATCATAGATTCAGGGGGCGCAACATTCCACCCCCTGGCTACTGGTGACGGGAGATATCTTTATGTAGAACTTCCCATGAAAAAGTTCAAGGGAAAAGGCCACACCTCTGATCAATGAATAATGCGCTACTTCAGGGGCGCTTGTATAGTCAAGTATCTGTGAACAGACTTGAATATAGGCGTAAGCTCTTAAAATATAGTAATGATCAAGATGAGTAGTCAGGACCATATAGGTAGGCTACGGAAAAGCGCAGCTTATATAGGTTCACTGAGGAAGTATGTGTTGCGCTTAAGGCTCGCTCGCTCTCAGACTCCGAAAAATTTTCTTTAACCAGGCTCACTCGGACCCGCAGCTCCATCACAGTCTTAGTTAGTCTCAGTGAGTCCACTCACGAGCGAGTTTGCCGACCTGTGGGAAAGCATGAAAGCGTTCAATATATCCAAGCTCCTGCGAACAAGTTCCAGGGAGGCTGACGCATCTACCGAGGGTGCCAAAGCCAGCTTTGCACGTTATAACCATGGCGCTGAGGCGCTGAGTTTGGACATTCTTGCATGGTCTATGGTAAACTGTAGTTCAACTCTGCTTTGTCTACACCAAGGAAAGACCTAGCATGAGTCAGGAAGACGACGTTAAGCCCCTAAGATGAACCAGCTTTGCCACTTCTTAAATTTCGCATGGCTAGTGTAGACATCTCCAGGTTTTGAAGATACGGGTCACCGGAATCGACACTGTATACGAGCTTCTTCATCCGGGGCTATTCTATTCATAGAGCAGGCAACGCAGAAGTGCACGCCGTTCGGTAGAAGCTCAGACGCAAATCACTTAATAGAAGTCACCATTACGAGCCCGGGCTTACCTTTGCTCTTGTCCTGCGACTTGTCCTTGGAGTTGAAGAACTTGAACTTGTCGAGCATAGAGTTGTTGTTGGTGGTGCCGTTGCTCGCGTGGTGAATGGCGGTGTTGTTGTGGTTGGCGACTCCGTTGTGGTGGGCGGAGGAGGAGGCGATGTGCGACGAGCCCTTGGGGATCAGGTGGCCGTTTCCCGGTCCGTTGGACTGGGCCGGCGGCGGCTGGCGTACCGGAACGCCAGCGTTTTTCACCGGAAGGTGCGAGATGGACGAAGAGGATGCAGTAGAGGAGGGCCTGCGAGGATGACGCATATTTCAATTCAATTCAATGTTTATTTTGTCTTTGAAAAAAAGAAACAAGGAATCTGCTTACTACAATGAACAGCTTGACGACGTGAAATCGTGTGGCTTCCCAGGACTACTGGACACCGCCGATTGAAACACGTGGGATCCCGTTGTGAAATATTAAACGCCGTGGGAAGGCACGCGGTTTGTACTGCGACACTGTAACTTTGCCAGAGTGTTCAAATAAGCCTCTGTTGTAAAAAACCGGGAGTCGTTTTTGATAGCTAGCTTTTTTCATCAGATATGATTTTTTTTTCCACATATTTCTCTTTCAGTTATGGCAAGACACCGCTTCGGTAGACGAGAGATGGCGCTACATGCAGATGTTCCGAAATCCTGGTCATGGTAACAACCCCACGTGATACAGATGTTTAAATAGTGTGGAGATTGGCATGGTGAAACAGATCTGACGGGTAAAAGACTAACCCGCCTTTCCATATTATTACAGTTCACCGGCAAACGTTATACGCCCAGGCATGCCATGCTTTCGCATTCAATGTTCGTAAGGAGATGGAAGCGCCTGTGTAGCTTTTTGTTTATCATGAGTAGGTACTTTCTGATGTCGACTTTTATCTTTCTCCGATGTTACGTTCCACATCAGAGCACGATGCATCAAATCTTTTGTCGATGACTGACTGAATCAGCGTGATAACTGAGTCACTAAACACTACGTCTTACGTAATGAAGTACGTCTTATGTAATCTATGTTTACTCGTTTATCGTATCGCTGTATACCAGCTCTTGCTCTAAGTCTATACGAGTACCTATGTTAAAACAACTAGAACAGTAAGTGATTCCTCCGAAGTATTTACTTTGTTGACAATCATTACTTGCCATTGGCGCACCACATTCGATGACTGCCTGATCATAAAACACACAAAAATGGAGTGTTGGGAGAGATAGAAATTCATCATAAAATTTTCGCTACACGCGCTCATGCTGAAACATTCCTGTTTCTCTCATTCTTCATTTGTTCATCTTAGAATGTCTTCCTGTGAGGGCATCAGGGTTAATTGAAGGTGACGAAAGCATCCCTGAAATTCTAGGAGACCACAACATTGCACCGGCGCGCTATACACCAATGGTGATGCTGTAAAACGAGGAGTGTTACATTGTGAGTGTGTGCTCCGCCTCTTTGCTGTTCTTTATACTCCAAACTTTCAAACCCCCTCATACTTTCAACCAGTGTCGGGCGGCATACCAGTTTTCCCATACGATACAACCTAAGTGCGCAGAGGCATCATCCACACGACCGAAGCACGGCAGCCAATCGTCCACGCGACTTAATTTCCTAATGCACTTGGTGGTGCCCTCCCAAGGCGTGGCCACCGGTCGCCAGTCTGGAGCACATGCCCATTGGTGGAAGCCCGTGTGCATCCGCGTATGCGGAGGAAACTCCACAAACTTTGAAAGATGTATCAAATTATAGACCGGTTAACCTCCCTATCTTTTCTCTCTCTCTCTTCTTCCTTGACTCCTACTTTCACAGTGCTGTGTCCATAATTGTGACTGGCTCAAAGGGGCCCTGAGGCACTTTTTTGAGGATGGCGCGAAAACGCTGCCGATCGGTAGTATAGAGGCACCCGAGAGTGAGCGAGCCAAATAATATAGCGCATCGCACGGCCTAGAATTTGCAATTTCTTCTCAGAGTCTACTGAAATAGCTTTCTCTTCTCTCGGCAAACGACGATACAAGCTCGAAAGTCGTGGCTTCCGCTTCATTGACTCGAATTTCACGCGATTTCCTGCTTTGAGAATCACTGGCTCAGGAGTTACTGAGGCCACCGCGGGAGGCCGTCACGTGTCCATGCTTTTGGAGGGAAAAAAAGTACTCAAGGTCACGTGACGCGCGTGACGTACTTTCGTCTCCAGTGCCAACCTCCCCCCTCCTAAGCTTTCAGTGCTTTCGTCGGGACGTGAGAAGAGAGAAAGGAATGACAACGAGCGACAAATCTTTGTAACTCCGCTATTCCTGGTCCGCGGCAGTGAATGTACGAATTGAAAAATTTTGGCTGCGGTCGATTCGTGAGGCAGTAAGCTCCTTTAGTAAAGCCATTTGACGGTATACTCGGAAAAAGTGTTTCAGGGCCACTTTAAGTTTCCTAGTACGAATATTTATGCTGCAAGAGCTCTCCATGAATAGAATTTTAGAATTTCCAAATGACCAATCTACGCACTAAACTTTGTGTATAGCAGCACTTGCACCACTCACCTTGACCTGTCGCTGTTCGCGGTGCGGTCTCTTGTGACGACCGCCGACTTGGGTTGCGGTATGAAGGAGCCTGTGTGCGGAGAGCCCGACCGCGAACTGTTGCAGCTGGTCGAGGTCTTGGGGGCCGCGATGCCCGAAGGACCTGGCGAACGAAAGAAGCAAGGACGGGATAGTTGAGCGTCATGCATCGCATTCCACACATCTTTGTTTCGTTGCAGTGCTCTTAAAGATGTTCTCAAGTGATTAGCTCTGAAACAATGGCAACAGGGGATACACGTTTCCATGCGAAGAAATGGGACGCAGAGTGGAATCCGACAAAACGAGACCCGATATATACGCTTATATTCGAGAACTAAGAGCCTAAACATAATGAAGGTCCCGTCATACAATACAGTTTTTTTTCCAGCTTCATGTGAATCATGACGTAGGGTTATTCCTCCTCGATGTAAATATGAACAAAGGCTACAGGAGTGTACCACGAGAACGGACCCTTAAGTTAAAATGCTCAATTGATTCGTGAGGTCGATGACATGATGGTTCATGATGTGAGTATAATTATTTATTTATTTATAACATACTGCAGACCAGAATTCGGTCCTTGAAGGAAGGGCACTCATAGTACACTAAAAAAATACAATACTAAAATATCAATACAGTTAGTACAAGATATGCGCAAATATTTACACTCAACTTAATAAAGGCACTCAGACTGCATTCTATAAAAAATAAAAAAATGCAGTACTGTAGTTACAACAGAAGTAATTAAAATGAAGTAACACATACAAAATGAATACACAACACCTAACGCGTGTATTACGGTAAAAAAGATCATTCATTATATGCCCAGAATTCCACTCCAACATACAAAATCATACAAAATCAAAACGCAATATACAAAAAAACATACGAAATCAAAACACAACACCCAAAGCGGATATTGCGGTAACTTAGAGGTCATTCATTTCATGCTAGAGTTCCACTCCGACAGTGTCCTAGGAAAAAATGTGTGTTCGTAATTATCTGTCCTAGCAAAACGAGGGGTTAAAGCATGTGTGCGATTGTGACGTGTACGCCTTGTGGACAGAGGTGTTACATATAATGCGGGGTTGATGGATAATTCACGTTTAATGAGTGATTGTAGGAAATTGAGCGATGAACACCGATACCGCACACCCAGAAACCGAAGTGTAATGCTGCGTCCTCTTCCAATCATCTAGTCGTCGTAAGTTTCACGTGCTCCTAAATAGAGCACGAAAACGCCCTATTAGATAATAAATTTCATCTCCACGGAAATGCTGTTGCTGCTGTGACAACGCTGGCGGTAGTGTGGGCTATACAAGGGATTGAAAGTCGTGTAAGTGAGACTGCCATGCTTGAAATTGATTATCTTAAAATATGACATGGGAAGAGAACATCACCAAAGCATTAGCGATCAAGTGAACCAGCAAGCACAGAGTATCGACGACAGCTAATGACTATATGTAGAAAGTATAAAAAAAGCGATATATATATATATATATATATATATATATATATATATATATATATATATATATATATATATATATATATATATAGTGAAGGTATGGGATATGGCACAACGGGAGCGTTGTCAACAAGGATAAATATATTTATTTCCCAACAGTTTCGGGAGGGGACCTCCCTTCATCAGGGGATGAGGATAACTCATATATATATAAATATATATATATATATATATATATATATATATATATATATATATATATATATATATATATATATATATATATATATATATATATATATATATCAGGGGATGAGGATAACTCATATATATATATATATATATATATATATATATATATATATATATATATATATAGTTACAGAGAGAGAGAGAATGAATAGCACACTACATAGGTCCGTTTTGCAGTATTTACCTGAGAAAGGGCTACGTGCTACTGATGCTTAATTTCATTGGCATACCCTATGCTGCTTGGCAGCTTAAAAAAGAAAGTAGGTCTCCAGGTAGCTCGCACTTTACCCACAATGCGGGACGCACGCAAGAGACCTTGGATCCGTTTTCGCACCGGAGACGAGAAAGGAGAGGCTGGCGAATGCGAGTAGAAAGCCACACGGAGAAGGAGGGCACGAAAGGGGAAGCCACAGGAAGCACCACGCGCGTTAATTGTGCGAAATACGGTGGAGTCTGGCGTAAAGCGTTTAGACGCGCGCCGTGCAGAGAACGTGTCCGAGATTATGGCAGCGAAAAACATATCGCGTTTGAAAAAAAAAGATGGCATGATGTTGATGAGCACTTAACCGTTTTTATAGCATAGCTGAAGATACACCAAACATAAATACTTCATACAATATTATAACTTCGTGCATGCTTGCATGTGTGCGCGTTTTTTCTTCAGGTATATTTCCTTCGTTCCACTTTTCTTTCTCTTCTTCAGCTTTTTACACCCCTTACACCTTCTCTAGTGTAAGGTAAAAAACCGGGAATTTTCTTTTGGTCAACCTCCCAGCCTTTCCCTGACCATTACTCCTTCTCTTTTAGTACCGAAATGTACTGCTTATCACTGCTTCTGCCTTTGACACCTTAGTCCTTAATTTCTTGAATAGCGGACACTGGGCATTCTACTTTTCGCTGTCATGTTCACGGGCAATACGAGAAATTTTCGTCCAGCTGCTTTGTAGCGGATTTGTCTCACATACCTAAAAGATGTATGTAAACACGCTTGTTAGACATGAACTGAACTAAACTAAGCCAAGCAAAAATATTCTTTATGGCCGCGAAGGAGTAAACCATTTTGATTCTCCGAAACGGTCATTTAATTATAATTATTCGAATAAAAAACGATATGCTTAAGGGCAGACTTTCAAAAATAGTAGTAATTAATGTACGGTGGCTGACAAAAAAAAAGACCAACGACCCATTTGCAGAACAGGCATGTTCGTGATTGATTGAAATGTGTGGCTTAACGTCCCAAAACAACGATATGATTATGAGAGACGCCGTAGTGAGAGCTCCGGAAATTTTGACCACCTTGGGTTCCTTAACGTGCACCCAAATCTGAGCACACGGGCCTACAACATTTCCGCCCCCATCGTAAACGGAGCCGCCGCAGCCGGGATTCAATCCAGCGACCTGTGGGTCAGCAGCCGAGTACCTTAGCCACTAGACCACCGCGACAGGGTAACAGGCATGTTGATGTGTGCGTTTACTAACATGTAGTATTTAGTAATATCGTGACCTTCCTTGAACACAATGGAGGAACCAGTATCTTATAGGCCTGATCGATACAGGGCCAAAAGATAATTAATGCATATTTATGCATCGACATCCTCTTCTATATTAATAGAACGATTTAACGCCCCAAAGCCATGATGTGATTGTGGGAGACGCCCTAATGGAGGGATCCGGGAGTATAGTCCACCTGAGATTCTTTAACGTGCACCTAAATGTAAGCACACTGGCATCTAGCATGTCGCCTCCATCGAAATGCGAAGCCCGAGGCAGGGATTCGATCCCACGACTTTCGTATCGGCAATTTAGCACCATAACTACCAGGCCATTGCGGTGGGTAGCCTGTTCTCTCACTTCAATAAAACGGAATAGCAAATGCCGATGAAAAGCCAAAACAACTCATGGCAATACTAAAGGAAGTATGAAGAGAATAAAAAAAGCTGTAAAACTACAAACAGTGCTCGAGACTACAGCTGCAGACTTTGCGTCAAGCTGAGGACCTAACACTTAGTTCCCATTAAGTAAAGTTCTTTTAATATTTATAACGAAAAGGCGATGATCATTTATTCTATACGCACAATATTAAAGCATAGCGTATGTACAACGAAAGAGTCATTGGAAATTTCATTTTCCGAGAGGCACTGCGTAAATGCGCTACACATCAACCGATCGTCAGGTGAAGTGCTTCGTATGCAGCTTGAGTACATACGAACATCACATCTGTCGCGAGAAACAAGGCGCAGCACGTTATCCGAGAACACTATTGGCCTCGAGGATATACCGTGGCGCCAACAACGTGATGACGTCACTCATAAGATGCAGGGTTGTGTTGTCTGCTGGAACACGGCATTTCCTGCGCTTTTGCTGGGGGACACCGTGTGTGCTTCTCTTTGTTTTGAATATCAGTGCTTAAAGAAGCGGTAAGACCTGCAGTAATACGCTCAAGCAAACTACGAATCGGTGCCCCCGGTGGCACTCTCGTGTCTCATTTGCATTGTAACATTGCGACTAAGAACTGGTGCAGCCATGGGGGACGATGCAAGCAAGGCGAGCGCACGCATCCTATCTGTGACGTCGAAACGAGCGCAGCGCTGGCCTCTCTAGTGGAGGCCCTCGTGGCCTATAGCGGCACCGCTCGCTAAGCAGAACTAGACGGCACGCAAGCAGAGGCAGACAGGCTTTTCATTTTTCTAAGCCATAGCACGCCATTCCTCCTCCCCCTCTCTAAGGATGTCCGCGACCTTGTTCCCCGAAACGCGACCACTATGCTTCCGAATGAGCAGGCCGCGTCTGTGCATACATGGACTTCTACAGAAAAACTGAAGTGTACAGAACGCTGAGGCTACCCCGTATTTTCTTCTAAGCTGTGTCTTCTATTGCCCATGGGGAGTTCGCAGTTATGTGGGACCGCTGTGATGCGTGATGCAAATCTCAAGAAATAAGGAAAAAAATAAATGAATTCACGAGAGATGAAACGAATACAGGCATCAAGAAACCTCGAAATTGACCTACAGTCTCGTCGAAACACGCGACAGTGAATCTCGACCCACTCGACGCAAAAGCCGGGCGCCCCAAGCTATGAGGAACGACACGAAATCACGTTACGGCTTATAGGCAAAAACGGAGCGAGCCTGCAACGGAGGAGCATTAGGTCTCAAGCCCGCTAAAACGGGTCGCACGAACACGCACCCGGGTCTCCGCAGCATGTATAGACGAAAATTTCTCGCTTGGGAGGGTTGGTGGGCAGCTTCAATTGATCCCTAATTACGTGCCCAGACGCGCGCGAGGCCAGACCGATAATGACGACCCGCGGGCAACGTGCTCGCGTATGCGGCGTCACACAAAACGCGGCTTGTAGTACACGCCGGATAATCACCGACGACGAAGCTGATACGCGACGACCCGAG